CTACTAAATAAAACAGTGCAAAGATTCATGTCTTGTCCCATTGTTGATGTTGATCTCTAACCCATTCAAGCTTTTAACAGCTGATTCAATTTTCTTATGGTTCACAGATTTTATAGTTAAGTATACTTTGTGTAGGGAAATACAGTGGAATCTTCATGAACATGATGTATGATAGTTTTCCAAGAAACTGAGCTATCACATTGGATCATTATCTACACATCTCAAAAAAGTAACAAGGCTATTTCAATGCAATAACATGTTCAGCAACTTATAACAAGACACCAACACAGCAATATACATAAAAAATTAAATTGTCTTGTAGCTCCTGAACAACTTGAAGACTTTCAAATCCAAATTCTACTCAGGAATATTTTCTTTTTTACATATTTCTACAAAATGTTCTCCTCTATCCAGGTAATGCTTGTGTATAATAAAAATAAGGATACAAATGATTAAGTGTTCCAAGATACAGTACAGGCACACCACCCAATGAATACATGCAGGCAGCGTGAAATTGTGGATAAGGATATTTCAAAGCTAATCTTCCAAAGTATCTATTTTTCCTTCTGAATGTTATCATAGACGAACAAAAATAGCTCATAACTGAAAAGAGCACAGTAAAAATAGTTACTTGAATTTCAAGACCTGGTCTTGTATGCCATAGGCGTTCTCCACATGATCCAAGGCCGGGTCTTGAAATACAAGAAACTTTTTTGACCGTGAGGAATAGAAAAAAAACTGGGCAACTGGAATAGAAGAAATACCTTCCACTAAAAAGAGGGCTAGAAGAAAAAGTGAAGCTTCACTGAATGGTTTCAGAAGGTCTGCCCTTTAAAAACTAGAATCAGAAAAAAAAATTGCCTCGTCCAATCGTAAAATTTTGAAGACAATTTGGGCTTTCAAACAAATTTATACTTCAGTAGTGATTGATAAAAGTTGAACTGGAATCATATAAGCTTAAAAACAACAAAATTGTAAACTCTGATAACATGATAAGGATGTTTACCCCTTCAATGGTAGCCCAGAAAGAGGATAAAATGCAAAATGTTAAAAAATAAAAGCACTCAAAATGTTACTTTTAAAAAGTTATAAGTTCTATTTTATTGTAAATCGCTGATCATTCATGACCTGCAGTAATTTTGTACTTCCAATAGTTCACTCCACAAAGCAGTAGCAGTGAGAAAGTTTGCTTGCCATCTTCCCACCTCTTTTTCCAATGCAAAGTATTATGAAGAGTTTCCAAATAGCAAACTAATTCCAGATTACCACAGCTATACTGATCAGTCCAGTTTCAAAATACATTCAATTGCAAAAATATTTCAATAATATGATATTCCAAATAACATTGAAAAGAGACGCTTCAGATGTGTGGTACACGAACAATGCAGCATCTAGCTTCCACAATGAACTTTGGATAACGGTATCCCATCACTCGGGTGACATAAAAAACTTCAGGAGTGGCATTAGATTTTCCACTCTCCAGTGGATTTATTTTCTGCTGTATGATCTGTTAGATCTTATTCTTACAGAAAACTGCAACTTTTCTCAAAAAAGTGTTTAGTTTTTGTGTTGTGTGGAAAAAGTAATAGCACTTCAAAAGTTTTTGTTCTTGTTATATGAATAGGACAACTCCTCAACCAATGAACATTACATCACACCATTCTCTTCGTTTTCAGAGTCGCATGGTCTGCTCCAGTCCACATTTCATTCTACCTCCAAGAAACAAGATAACCATTGCTTTTGTCATAGAAGAAGTTCCTTTCACTAAAAAGTCTTTGCTCATCACTAAAAATAAAATTAAACTCATTTCTTTTAGCCATAGCAAGTCATAATACACAATTGGAGTGGAAAGCTATCTGTTCCAAAATATTTTCTTTTGCATATTCTTAAGCATATCCTCAACAGTTCAGTCTACTCTCAGTCATATGACACAGATCCGAAAAGTGGGTGATCAATGAAAAAGTAAAGGGTTAGTGCAGATACTAAATAGATCCTTGCATTCCACATTCTAAATACATATTGGTGGCAGGGGGGGCTGAGTTTATTTTTTAAATAAGTATATAACTTAGAGTGAAACCTGCATAATGAGAACCTGGATTGTAAGAATACCTCTTATAGAGTAGCTTTTCCAAGTAAAAGAAATTTGTTATATCAAAGTACCTGCTGTACTGTGTTCTAAAAAATACATGGATGTAACATACTGAGACCTTGGTCTCCAGCAACTCTTACTATCCAGGTTTCACCATACCATTGTCAAAGAGACATGATTAAATTAAGAACCAAAAGAAGCCAAAAATTAAACATGCACAACTCAGAAGTTGATCCTCTTGACTGATCCCAAAAGGCAAAAAATTTTGGAAACCACATTGATTCCTTAAAGAAATGAAAGGATTTATAAGCTTAAACAAGGTCAACAACTTTTACATTTAAAAAGATGTAGTAAGCACTTCGGTAGAAAATCATTCATAATCGGCTCTTATGCTGTACATAATAAATATACCACTGATCACAAAAGTCCAAGGTACACAAAATAATTCAATACGTACTTCATACCGAGAAAACTAAAATATCCTAATGTGATTACAACTGACATAAAACAAGTCAAGCATCAAAAATAAACCGTTCAGTTGCATTTACTTCATAGTCAATCTATGTCATTTCATCCTGGACAAAAGATGAAAATTTCAAAACTCAAAATGCAAGGGTAGTATGACAGAATGAAAATATGAAACTAAGGCTCTGTTCAAGAGCTTAAGAGAAAAAGAATCAAGTTTACATGCTCAGATGACATGTACAGAAAACATTTTTTGGAAAACACAAGAATGAATGGCATGTGATAATTTAAATATTGGAAACCCAATTAATCCACACACAGCAGATTTTCAGCTCAAGTAAATTATCACCATCCAAACAAAGTTGGTTTAAAAAATATAAAGCTGTGTATATTACTAATTACAAACAGAACTTTTGCAAAGCAGCTGATAAGGTAAACTTTGCAAATGAAAATTTATAGTAAGTAACTCTTTGGACACTTATAAATTTTTGGTATTAAGGTAATGAGTCGTACAATTAGTTTTTTTTTAAAGAACATGCATCCTCTATTTTCTTTTAGTAAAACCAATCCCACTAAACCAGCTGTGTCTTAAGATGAGAGCAAGAGCCTTCTCACTTCAAAATTGGCAGTGTTCATGCCAGGAAAAGTTTGTTATTTGTGACTTAACCATGGAACGAAAAGAAAACATTCTTCTACATGATGTATTTGTAAAACTGAAAAACTTCCAAGTGAATAACTAATCTTGCACTGTTAAATTCATACAATGCTGCACTCTGTAAACTCTTTGCAATTTGCAACATATTCAGGGGCTACATAGACTACAAAGCATTTCTTTGCAACAGCAGAACTGAAATTGCTAGGGAATACTTTACAAGCTGCAAAGAATGCTGTGCAATTGCAAAGTAAATGCTTTGCAGGGATTTAAGGGGGCATCCTAGTGTATCGGGCTCAAAATAGAGGTGTTTTCGGGAATTTATTTTTAAAAAACTAGAGCTCTCAGAGCAAAACCGATTGCGGGGTTTGATAGCTAGCACTTTAAGCTACAAAATCCATTGTTGACGGTGCCGGTTACCCCTCGGGTAGCGGAGCTATCCCTCATGAGGCAACACGCTGCGGCAATGTCATCTCCTCATGGTGGGCAGTCTGGAGGTCAAGCCGTTGGTTTTAAACAGTCGACCAAAAAAGGAAATTAAACTTTAGGAGTCTGGCTACCGCGTGAACTAGGAGTTTTGCGATAGAGCAAAATTTACTATTTTTTTGAACGCCTCAAACTTTAATGATAAAATTTTGACTGAAAATCTGAATGTTTTCAATTTTTTTCACTGTGAAGGAGGTATCCGAATACGGATATCCTAGTTCACACGATAGAGATACGCGAGAGGAACAACCACGAAAAATCACAACCCGATCGGCCAAGCGGTTTGACCGCTAGAGTGCCCACCAGTTCAAAAAAAGGCGTTTCGAGAAAAATGCCGTTAAAGTTTTGGGATGCCGACGGAACGCTGTGTACTGCTTCACGTCCTACGCTCTTACGGGCAGGAAAATTCGAATTGACGCACCGGACAAAGTGGGCTGTAATCTAGAGACCATAAGGGATTTTTTGAGACCAAAATATTTTTTTCCATTTTTTGAGCCTGCTACACTAGGATGCCCCCTTAACAGTGTGAATAAAATTTGTTTGCGCTACAACACAACTTCAGGAAGCCCATCAAAATCCAATATACATAGCTTTTTTTCTAGTGGGCGAGGAAAAGAAATCAAATTTTCAGATTTAAATTTTAATAACAGTTCAAATGTTGCAGGAATCATTTTAAATTGTTCTCTTGCATCAGTGAACAGCCATATCACAATTACTACACACTCCAATATCCACCTCTAATGAAGAACCAGTTACTTCAAGTTTAACTTCATTGTACTGGCCAATTCACGTCTTTTAACAGCATGTTGACTGTGAAATATCTTTTACAACAAAACTCACCATAACACACCTCTCAAATCACAATCATAAAGTCAATTCCTATTGTAGACTAGTTCAGAGTCATTGCTACTGCATCAAATATATGAGAATATTGTGACCAGATTTCTTGAAAAATTGGAAATTACAGTAAAATTTTCAAAATACAGGGGAACTTCAAATACAGAGAAAATGTATATGAACAAACTTCCAATAATTGCAGAGACTTTAAATGTGCATTTCATTAAAACATGGCCACTGCAATTCATCGGTCAGCAGGCTACAACTGGCCTAGAAAACATATAAAAGCAACTGCAGCTAATGCTGTTGAGTCATTATGCAACGTCATGTCATGTACGTGCACAAGAAACCAATTCCTTTCACAATAGCCATCAAAGGTCAACACTCATTAAACTAATAATATAAAAACAAAATGATTTTCCACCCATATTTTTTTTTCCATTTTACACAACATAATTAAATTTATTAGAGCTAATAGTTATAATAATTATTGTTATTAGACCGACAGGTATATTCATTGTGGATTAATTCATGATTATGAGCAAGCTGATGTGTGATGGGATATTCACTAGCTTGCTCTTTTGTAACACCAGACACACAGCAATACCAGTCCTCAATTTCTGCCTGATCTCCCACCACCTCCACGACCCCTACCACCATGATGGTCCCCACCACGATCCTGAAACATACAAATAACAGGGCTCATTATGCCTATGATCAATCAAGATCAATAATTTTCCCCTGCTCCAAAGCAAAGTGAAAATCCCCCCCCCCCAAAAAAAAAGGAATTTCAATGCAAATGTGTCAGAAGGAAATGGTAAACATCAAGCTTACTCTTAAAACCACCATGTGTGATCTTTGGCTCACCTTGTGATGATGCGGTGGTCCCCGGCCGTCGCGCCCGTCTCTGTCCCCATGTCGATCACGGTCATCTCTGTCACGCCCTCGATCACCACGATCACCACGATCGCGGCGGTCTCCTCGGTCGCCACGATCCCCACGGTCAACTCGGTCACCACGATCCCCGCGGTCACCTCGGTCACCGCGATCACGGTCACCTCTGTCACCACGGTCACCTCTCTCACCACGATCCCCGCGATCACGGTCACGGTCAGAGTCCCTCTCACGGCCATGATCCCTGTCACGGCCGTGGTCCCTCTCACGGCCATGATCCCGCTCCCGGTCTTGACCATGGCCATGGCCGTGACCGTGCGCGTGACCATGTCCATGCCCACCGTGACCACCATGTCCACCATGTCCATGGCCTTGAGGAGACACACCTGAACTAGGAGGCATAACTTTGCGAGAGTCCTCCTCCTCCTGTCTTTTCTCATAATGCACAAAGTCATCAAAGATAGAAGTTGAATGTCGGTACGTGTTCATGATACGTAAAACTTGCCTCCCCTTTTCAAACGGCACTTCCTGGGTATCACGAGAGTTGGTCACTGGCTTGTTCTCATTATTTTCGAGACGGATATGGCGTAACTGGACATTAGGAACGTCTTTCACATAGATCCAGCGTACCCCAAACTGTCCTTTCCACTTGTCTTGGGACCACACAGAACTGGAAGCATTGTAGTCCAACGGCGAAATCATTTGTGCCATACCACAAAAATGACCAGAGCCGTTCACTGAGAAGAATAGTAAAACAATGCCCCCCTCTGCTTCCCTTTCACGATACGCTTCATCCAAACGTTTATTTCCATGTTCAGTAGAACACCAAATTTCGTACTTAATTGACCGATGAATATCATCTTCAGAATAAGACTTAATGACGAAAAACCTTGCACCTTTAGCTGATAGATCGTAGTCCGAAGGGTTATAATTGTTTTTGACACGCAGTTCATCAAGCACAGGATGGTTGGGGGCAGGCACCGAAGCATGTGTATGTTGAGGCATGTTGGGCATGGAGGCCTGTTGAGGGGCCATGTGATGCTGAGGCGGTCCTTGCTGTGGGATAGGGTGATGAAGAATAGCAACTGGGTGGGGATGGGCTGGTACAGGCGCATGTGCATGTCCATGAGCATGGGCATACGTTCCAGGTCCTGGAGGACCCCCAGGCCTTGGTGGACCACCACGAACTGGACCACCATGCCCACCATGCCCAGCGTGACCCCCGTGAGTAGCAGGGCCCCCGGGGCCGCCAGGGCCGCCAGGGCCACCCCATGACGGCCGCACAGCGGCTGGGGGTGGTGCCACGGGAGCTTTAGGGGGTGCAGAGGCTCCATTCTTGCCTTCCCATGTTCCTATGTCCATATTGTGCTTCCCTGGAATCATAGGTGGGGGAGGCATGCCAGGTCCTTTCTTCTTTAGGCCTCCACTTTGGACAGCTGGCTGAGGCTTGGCAGGTTGACTTGCAATTGAGGCCCATGTCATTTTTTTAGGTGCTGACTGCTGAGGCTGACTTTCTTTTGGGATAAGATCCTGAGGTTGAGATTTTAAGTGATCTTTATGATCAGGTACTTTAACATCGCCCAGGCCCAGCCCTTGCATTCCATGTTCTACAGCTTTTACATCTACATTTGCACCATAGGCTATCTCGCTGCGATAATAGTCATCATAGTGAGCTTTTCGAGGCATAGCCCCAGCAGAGTTGCCCCAAGTTGAAAAGTCTCCATTGCTATGGAAATAGTTAAAGCCTGGCTGACCAAACGTTGTATTGAAACCTGTTCCGCCTGTGCTGAACATGCCATCCATTCCATAAGAATCGTGGGCCATCTGTCCTGTGTAGCCCCCCATGAAGGGCATCTGTGCATCTCCATTTGACCATGTTCCATCTCCTACTCCAAAGGCTTGGTATGGAAATGTTGAAGTGCCATAAAAATTGGGCATATAAGGATCTGCCGATCCCATTGATGTTGTTGAGATTGGAGTTGAGTTGTATCCCTGTAAAACAATTTGATCTCATTAGAAAAAAAAATATAATCGGAATCTTAAAAGTTTAGTGCGCAGTGCACATAGCATGCAAAAATAATGAGAAGATGAAGCCAAAATACAAGCACGAAAATAATCACCTGATGATGTTGAGGCCTCCATGAATCAAAGTCTTCATGTTCATTCACGTGCTCCTTAGGCCCATTTGTAACTGGAAATGACAGAATAAAATTAGATTGCAAAATGGGTGACTACTTTTCTATTTTTTAGATTTAACATTGATCAAAAAATCTTGGAATGAAATACTTAAAGATTATGTTTTACTATTTCAAATGGAAAAAAATTATAACATGAATTTGGAATTTATAAAAAAGGAAATTATTGAAATAAGTTCAGATTGATTACACCGTACACACTGCTAATTCTTTTAAAAAAACTGCACCTCATAATTTAGCGAGCTATGCTCATTTAATCCAGTAATCGTCACCCCAAGTTAAACGCAGACTTGGTTCAAGGTAAGAAGATATCATTTCAACAAAGCAATTTACAGGCAACAAACCAACTAACACATGACTTTTGAGAACCCCTTTAGAATCCTTTAACTAATGCCACCGAAACAGAGCGATGAAGAGTACGCCGCAAGTTACGGAAGGAGAGCGGCTACAGCAGCCGACGTCAGAACAGAAACTACATAACCTTGTGGACACTATCAGCGATGTTCTAACAAGATAATAGATACTAGGGGTTTGGCGGATATGAGTTGGCATCAAGATCTCTAGAATGTCGCTTTGGTTATACTGTTTTGACACAGAAATATGAAATATCGGCGCTCGGGTATTCAAAATAACAAGTAGAATAACATCCACTGTACTACACATTACCTTGATTCCCTTGTCCTTTCATCCGCTAGACCCAGCAAAGAGGACATGGAATGAAAAAAACACCGCCAACCGTGAGTAAACAAACAGACGCCACGAAAACAATTAACTATAATATTGTTTTCAATAAAATTCAAAAGGAGAAGAAACCCGTAGCCTACCTGATCTGATACGCCTGCGGACATCACCTATTTTTCACACTTTGCTTCGAATGTTGTGGAAAGTACTTCTTCAATAATGACACCTTAAATTCTTGAGCACAATATCAAGGAATATCTTCAAAGTTACGTAGTTCATATAATATAATTCTAAAAAGTTCAGGCACATTACACTTCACACATACAATGGCGGACAACACAACTTTGCTCAGGGTGGGTGTGTTCTCTTTGGGGGTCTTTCCGGAAATCGGATTGGGCAGGTTAACAAAATTCAGCACTTCACCCCACACGCAAAAGACTTTTTGGATCTCAAGCGCAATGAGAATGATAACTCTGTCATGGAGGCAGTGTGTTCAGAGTACTGTATTTGTTTGTGTCTATCGAACACTTGCTGACACTTGTTTCGAAGGGGGGTTAGGTTGTCCCGTGGTCAGAAAGCAGAACGGCGTACGTGGTCTTTGCTTAAGTCGAAGCACGGCCTTCTGCTAATGGTTCGTTCTCCTGTCAAGCCGGCATGGCGCGAGAGTACGGAGTGGGACGGGGCACTGCACGCTGCAGTAATTTGCCGATTCTAGCAGTCATCACGAGTTTACGCTGAAATTGAAACAGTGGCAACTTTAGGAATGGTAGCGGGAGGCATGCACGCATGTAGCTCTGAAAATACGTGACGTGAGAATGACCGTCACTTACACGGCCGAGGTGGCAACATCCAGTGGATTAGGATGTTTCCTTAAACTTCTCTTTCGGTAATCAATAAAGAGGTTAAGTGATGCAAGGGATGTAAATATAACAATGTGCTCCAGCATGCTTTTATTTTCAGATGGAAAGGCAGCATTTACAAGCTGCTGTGGCCGAATCTTGTATTGTACTCCACACTATATTTCAGTCTAAGTTTGTATTACAGATTTGTCTTGAATCCGATTGACAGAGAGTAGGTACATTAACCTCCCATTTAGTTCCTTAGCCAGGCAGATTGCTTTGTTTTCTACTTTTGAAAACTTTCTGACTCCCGAATCTCCTAGAAATCTGTAAGCCCTGTTCGATGCCTATCGCAGGTGGTTCGAAAGACTGTCGATCCACTGTCAAACGTACGGGGACCTCATCCCCGTGTCGTTCGTCCTTGGCTTCTACGTCTCCCTCGTCATTAAGCGCTGGTGGGATCAGTACGTCAGCATTCCATGGCCTGACAACCTAGCCCTTTTCGTCAGCGCGCTAGTGCACGGACAGGTGAGTAGGACTGACTGACTGAATGCGACCGACCGACCTAAGCTTACCGACCCACCCACCCACACCTATGAGGTATTGCTGATGCTGCAGGACGAGAGAGGCCGGCTGATGCGCCGCACAGTCATGCGCTACGTGAACCTGTCGCTGGTGCTGACGCTGCGCATGGTCAGCCCCCGCGTCAAGATGCGCTTCCCGACCATGGACCACCTGGTCGAGGCCGGGCTGCTGCAAACCAACGAGATGAAAATATTCGAGGACCTGGAGCGCAAGACGAACCATCCCAAGTACTGGATGCCTCTGGTGTGGGCGAGCGGGATCCTGACGCGCGCGCGCAAGGAGAACCGCATCACGAACGACTTCAGCCTCAAGACCCTCATCGACGAGCTCAATATTTTCCGGACGGGTTGCGGCAAGCTGCTCAGCTACGACTGGATCAGCATTCCCCTCGTCTACACGCAGGTGAGTAGGAGGGCGTGAGAGGAGGGAGGGATAGTCGAACAAATCAACCGGTTACAGATGGTTATCCTCTCCAGGTGGTGACCCTGGCCGTCCACTTCTACTTCATCGCCACCCTGATGGGCAACCAGTACCTGGACGTTTCGAAAGGATACGCCAAGCACCAGATCGACTTAGTAGTGCCCTTCTTCACGTTCCTAGAGGTAACATTCATCGCACTCGGTTCACAACCTTTCTGAAGATTATCATAACTGATACCCGATGCATCGAGTTTCTGGTGGCCCTAGTTCTTCTTTTACATGGGGTGGCTGAAAGTAGCCGAGTCCCTCGTCAACCCTTTCGGGGAAGACGACGACGACTTCGAAGTAATGTGGCTCATAGACAGAAACCTGCAGGCAAGTCAACAAAGTCTAGTACAGGTGGACAGGGGAAGAAACCATAAGCGGGTCTAGCCGGCCGCGTGGGCAGCGACATCTGTCCGCACCGGTCAGAGTTAGTCCGATAGTGGGTCACAGATGTCGTACGTGATCGTGGATGAGATGCACGAGGAGCACCCGGAGATGCTGCGGGACGCCTACTGGGACGACGTGGTCCCCTCCGAGCTGCCCTACACGGCCGCCACCAAGCAGTACCAGACCGAGCCGCCCCAGGGCTCCACCAAGAACGTCGAGGTGCCCGTTCACATGGCGGACTTCGTCAAGGACGCCACCCAGGCCGAAGAAGGCGAGGTTCGCAGAATGGCCACAGACGAGCCGCCCTCCTCTGAGGGGCAGGGGGAATCGTGCCCAAACCAGGCGTGACTTTGGGTGGGGTGGAGGGTGGGGGACCAAATATTATGGACCCCCAAAAGGTTCAGGATGATATTTTTACCCCGGGGTACAAAAGTCATTGTGTCTCTGTGGACTCTAATGACCGTCCTTAACCTTTTGGCACCCCAACACTTGGACCCCCCCCCCCCTCCTAAAGTCACGTGGTTTCAGCACGACTCCTAAAACGTTTGTCGCCGTCTCCGCTCGCAGGACAAGGAGACCCCCGTCGGGGACGTGCCGTGGCCCGGGGCGCCGGGGAGGATGCGGCGCTACTCGAGCGCGTCCGTGCACTCGGGACAGTCCGGGCGCGAGGGCGGCCACCGCCGCAGCAGGACCTCCGTGCTGAGCGTCCTCACCAGGGCGTTCCACCGCGAGGACAGCGCCAAGGACCTCGGTAGGCTCTGAAGCTCGGCACAGCTCGAGCAGCACAAAGCCGCTCACGGGCACGCCTGTCTGCGCAGAGGCCAGCGGGCGCAGCAGCGGCGCCTCCCTGCTCAGCAGGGCCAGCCGGGCGCACGGCGCGGGCGCCGGGGTCGCGAGGCAGCAGCAGCACCGGGTGTCGGCCTCGCAGGGCTCCAGCAGGGCCACGCTGGTCGGCAGCGACTTCCAGGTGACGCGACGCACTCCCACGGCCCCACGCCCTCGGACAGGGTCTCCCTATGGGTAACTCACGGCGCTCTGCCACCACCAGGAAGACGTACTCCGCACGTCCGACGTGTCCCTCGCCACGCAGGGGTCCAACTTCGCCCCGGCGGACAACAGGCTGCAGGTAGGCATGGGCCGTCCCGCCGGGCACCGCTGTGCCGCGGGAGCGCCTACCTCCGCGGCGCCCGCCGACACGCCCGGCTCAGCAGGCCAGGCGCGGTTTAAAATCCGGCTTACGGAGGGGGCGATTTGCTCTGTGTTGCCTACTTTCAGGGTTTCTTTAGGACAAATTCCCTACCTACCCTAAGAGGCGACCGGGTGGGGGACGGGGGGATCTCCACTTCGCCCCTTCACCCCTCTTAAAACCGCACCTGCAGCAGGCAGAGAGATATAACGACTGCAATTTTACATTTATTGGAAAATCAACAAATCCCGTCGAAAAATTCCAGTTTGTTGGCCCGGTTCCGGAGGGCTCTGCCGGCGCGGTGGAGAACGCCCTGCTGAACACCGCCCCCTGGCAGACGGTGGCGTCCGCGGACGGCGCCAGGCAGACGGGCAGCGCCCTCATAGCCAGGTTCATTTCACCGGCAGAGGACCCCGACCCTGAGCCCCACGGCGCGGAGCAGCCGAACGCCAGCGTCACCCCTCCGCCCCCGCCTCCCCCTGCCGTCTGCCGGGAGCAAGCCAAGTACCACCTGCTGGCGTAGCTTCCCAGATCTCTCATAACTTATGGACCCTCGAAATATCGATATTGTCTCCCGCAGACAAGCCGCCGTCGAGGCCGCGGTGTTGGGTTCCTCCCCGCCCGTGGACTTCATCACCCTATTCGCCCCGCTCTCGCAGTCCAACGACTTCCCCAGCCCGCCCCCC